TGTGTGGAGCGGAAGTGGTGATGTAACTAGAGCTCATCCCACTACAGTGCATCTGTCACTCAATGCTTCGCCCCTAGATTACATTAAAGTGGTTTACGGCACCTACTGGTGTATATTTGAAAACGTAGACGAATTGAAAACATAGAAGTGAGAATAAAGTCTTTGCAGAAATAAATTATATCCACGTCTTCTGAAGTAGAGGGCCGCCAACAGTGATGCAATTTGACCTATGCAAATGAAGGGCTAACCTTATCAAACCTAATTTGCATAGGGCAAATGTTAATAGTGACGACTTCTTCTGAAAAAGAATATTTTTATTTCTCATATTATGTCCATTGTAGTGGCCATCCTAAAGTTTCGCCGCATCGATCGTCCACCCGTGAAACGACGTCGACGTGCAATTGGCGGAAAGGCCGGTCGTTCACAGTGTCTGTGCTTGGTGCTACTGTTGTAAACTTGTTACTGTCAGGTTCTAGACACATATATGTCGACACCTCTTTATCCTCAGCAGTAGCACACCTTTACCGGTGACTACAGAACTACAATATTGATGCTGCCATTTTGGCGTCATGGGGTTCGGCCGTGGAAACGCGTTGAAGGATAATGAAAGAGCTTTGCAGACGTAACAAATATGACAGTTTCCAGAGTATCCCTACCATACTGACTTCCGGATAAGCGTTACTTTAATTATTTATTTTGTGTTCGGATGTACTTTGCTCATGTTTTTCATTCGTTATCAGAATCCATCAAAGGATGACTACTCATTTATTTAGATTATCGTATTATCAGAGCGTCTAATTTGTCGGAAAAGTGGCAACATTGCCCAGCCCTGCAGATAGTGTTGAGTGGCGTCGCGGCGTTGCCACGTTGTGCAGATAATTGATTACACACCTCTACTATGGTATACTTGTGTGACAATTGTCAGAAACATCAATATATCGTGTCACGTGACCAGTCTTGATAAGTCTTGTCTTATCTCTGCACGAGACCTCGACTCACGATAATATTGCCAGTCTATTGCTTGGGAAACTTTATTTTATTTTTATGTAGGTCTAGTCTTGAATCACTTAAACATATAAATATAAGGTTAATTTACCTTGATTTAGTCCACGACTCGTCATTCTTGGCAAGAATATCAATGTCCACACATAATTTAAGTCGTCAAATCATTAGACGAACATTTATGTTCCGAAATTATCGTTATCCACCTATAATAGTCAAGGTATTAGGAATTACTTGACGAAATCAAGGTAAATTAATCTCTTATTTATTAACTTTAGTAATGGGTCTTACTGGCTGAAAATCACCAATCCGGATCTTACCATTCCAAATGGTCAGCAGTGTTAATTATAAGAGGCGGCATTTGTTTGGTTTCTGACAATCTATCCACCCTGTTACGAAACCAACTCGAACTTCTGTGTTGATAATAGCGTAGACAAATAGAATAGGCCGACAGCAATGCTGTGGTTAACATAAGTTCTGGCGTTCACCGCTAGGAGTGCCGTGTAATTACGTGTGCGCATTAACTACACGGCGCTCCAAGCGGTGGACGCCAGAACTTACCATTAGTGCTAAATTGTCAGCGAACGAAAAGCTGCACTGTATGTGACGCATTTGACAAGGCTTCCTCCTCGTCATGTAGATAGATAATCTATCCGCGTTTTATTTGTCCTAAGACACGCCTTCCTGGCGCATATTATTTCATACTTTAACTCTACCCAGGTCAAAAACATCTGAAAAACAAGTTTTATGATGTCTGATACGGTCTACACTAGTAAGGTATCGTTATTGTGTAGTAAGGTAGGTATTGTGTACACAGTACACCGCCAGTCACCATCACTCATAGTCAAACACAACGAGGTAGGTCAACAACCATACCTCCACCTTGACATGCAAACATCCGATTTTTCATTTGCTTGACGTCGTGTCGCGCGGAATAACGAATGATTCGATTTCCTCCTTGTATAATCCAGTGCATCCGCCTGCTCCTTAGAAACTCGAATTTCTATACAGCGTTGCGGCAACACCGGATAGGTATTCGGTATAGTGATTAAAAATTTTCCCGTAGTTTGGTATTTTCATAAACTGGAATGATTTATAGTTATTTTCTTGATTAAAATATTTCAAATAAATTTTCAATATTGTATAACATTATTTTGAATATTGATTTTTACGTATCGACTGCGTTCATCTGAAGTGACGCCTTGTGGTTCGATCCTTCACCCCTCTTCTCAAATCTACCCTCCATTCACTGTACTCATCCCCTATTTTAGATGCAACTGCTCCATTGCTCTTGAATCGTTATAACGCTTTTTAGACTTTAGAGTATAAAATTATGGATGAATAACGAGAGTTAATTGTTTCCAAGCAGCTGCATTTCCTTTAACTAGGATAAGGTTGGTTTCGCAAGTAGCCAGTGTGTTGTTCCGTTAACCCCGTTACATACATACTCGGTTGTAACTGGGACAATGCGCCTGTCTCATCTCATCTGAATATTTTGTTTTATTCACAATAACTATGTTGTATTTAAACAGTCCAACTATAAAAAGAAATAAATTCACTAAAATTTCTGTATTTTGATTATACAAAATAATATAAGCCATTACTTTACACGTTGAGTTTTTCAAAATTAAAAGGGGAGCTTTAATAATTGTTCCTTCAATTTATATTGGATACGCAAGAATCAATTAACAGATACCGGTACACCACTTGTTAATAAGCGGAAAGGAATGTATTATGTCCATATCCTCTATATCAAGTTATGGAAACATAATTACTTAGAACTTTGAGTACAGTTCACTAATGTAAGTAAATACGTTACGTATTGGTATTATCGACAATTTTACAGTTTGGGGCTTTCGTGTACAGCGCTAAAGATTCAAACGCGAGCTAACAGTACTGTTTTATACTAAAAACCAAAAGATTATTTAGAGATTTGTTTTACAAAACTTATTTCCATACTTGACTGCGGTAGTTTCTGTCAAAGCCAGCGCTAGTATTTGCACTTCATAAGAATTTCTTCATCAAACTTTGTGCAAAGTCAGGACAGCAAGGAGACGTCTCCACATTTACAACACAATCTGGGCGAGATTGCTTTGCCCTACCTCAACTCAACTCTACTTTTCACTTCTTTTTCAACTATTTCTTACTTTCAGGTAACATGATTTATTCTAGGAAGTAATATTTCTTTTGAAAGTTAGGTGTAGTTTCAGGTTCTTACGAAGTTTTAGAACCGCGTGCGATACACAATTTGGCTACAATAAGGTCTTTGTAGGTGTCACGGATCGGATACTATGCGATTCGCAACGGTTTTAAACCCCCCGCTCCCCCCGGAAGCGAAAAACAAAACCGGTTACGGCCAGAACACACATGTTGATGCTACACGCGGTCACAAACAATAACGAATACTATTTTTTAAGTCCAAAAATAAATTAATGACTCATTCATTTATAATTTGTTCCCTTTTTTGTACAGTAGAAACATTACTACTTATTAATATGTTGGCCCAGAGTAAAGGGCCTATTGATGGTTAGCAGGTTTTAACACAATTATTTTTTTTTAAGATTGTTTCAACAGATTGATTAAGTATATAGATTAGAGTTGTCTTGAAAATCAGAATTTTCCCGGCATAATGCTTGCTTGGTAAAGGGGTTTACTGTGGGTTTGCAGATTTACATGTGAAACACGGTGTTTAACCCAAATTCGGTTCAGTGTTCGTATCCTAGAATATCAGAAAATAGCGATGAACTAATTTTGCCAACACTCGAACCACGAACGGTCGGTGTTTAGTTGACGTGGAATCTCCGCTATAATTACGTAAGCTGTACGACGCGGCGGCGTTCACTACAAAGGTGCAGCACATCAGGTCGCTTCGTTTCGCCATCTTGTTTTATTCAGAACAACACCAGCCACGATAAGCTCCATTGGAAGCTATCTGAATATCAAATACAAATGTGTGATGTTTTGAAAACTCGGAATTTCAATTTTTTTAATGTCATTATACAAGTTTTGCCTTGATGACGTGTAAAATTATGAAAATTGACTAACTACATTGTTTAGCCATAACATCATAACAGGGCGCACTATCTGGTGGCGACGACAGCAACTATCTCATTGATTTGTACGTTGACCTCAACACCGCACTGCGCTCTTGTGGTGAAGCTTTGTAACCTCGGCTTTACTAAAATACATTGTCATTTTTCCGTTGGCCTTTTTTGTAGGTTTTCATTTTTACTTTTTTTTACGACTTTTTTCTACTCATTTTTTACTTAGGACATTGGGATTTCTGATTGAAGTATTTGGAAATTTTTTTTAGAATTTGTCGAGTTAATTCATTCTTTGATGAATATATTATGAGTTATGGTTATACCAAAGATTACACATTAGGTTATACCATAGATAAAAGGAGTATGTTATACTCGATGGTTATACTAAGAAACTCAGTTGGGACTGGTCTGGGAGTGTACAGTAATTCTTTTCTTTGCTGTTGAGGTTTATAACCTATCTGTTCCTGATCATTGGGCTTTATAATGATCCTGGCTAATGAAACAGCTGAGTCGGTAACAAAGCTACACAATTATCTCACCCCATTGCACACTCACCCTACACTCATATTTGGGTTAAAATACATGTGGCACCTCATCAAAGATTGATAATTGATAGAGAAACTAAATTATAAATCTTATTGTAGGTATAATCTATAACTATTGTCATGCATCAATAAACAATATTATTTATAGAAAAATGTTTTTTAGATTAGTTTATTAAGGTCTTGTTAGAGTTTGCTTCAAGTCCTTTAGAAAATTGTTGAAAAATACTTCCTTGTAGGATAACTTCTTTCCACACAATGTCAATGGGTGCACTTAAATGCCAAAGGTTGAGGTGGCATTTCTTGTGTGGTGTTTTGGTCTTTATTTCTCATTTGAGAGGTAGAGAAAGGTTGCTTTGCTTTTGTAGAATGTTGTTGAATTGAGGATTTTCAGTTCGTTGTTGTGTTTCAGTGCAGAGACTTTGTGAAGGCAGGAGCAGAGGAAGGACTGACTCCAGGAGATGTGGTCCAGGCAGCCGACATTACCTTCTCATGTGTGGCCGACCCCCAGGCTGCCAAAGATGTCAGTACCAAGACACTAAAACTAAAATTAACTTAATCCATCCATTGGATGTGGATAAACAGCTGCATTGTTTGTGTAAAATCACACCTAATATCTTATCACTTGATTGAGGTTTGTTCAGACACCAAAGAACAGTAATTGAAATTAAAAATAGCCTGAACTATCAGAAGTCATAGCCTACAAAAATTAATGTATAAGTTTAAAAGCACATAGGTCTACTGTAATGTGTGCAGTACTACAACTTTATACGAAATAATTTGGGAAACCAGCAATAAAATCTGTGGACCAATCAGTGTCAAAAGGACAGGTTGATAGAGCGTTTGTAAGAGTACAGTAGAACCTCGATAACAAGACTGTCTTAAGATTATTAAACAAGACTTGTTATCAATGGTGACTTCGAGTTTCTACTATGTTGGCAAAAGAAACGTATGTATACTAGTGCGTGAGGCATATCAATTTAGCTGTCCAAACAAGGCGTAATCGAAGAGGAGTTTACTGGTTTTTTTCAACAAAAGCTTCAACAACTTGTTTTTTTAATTTAATAGACAAAATAAATTCCTAAATAGACTCCTATATTTGAAATCTTAAAATTTGATCAAGATGTATCTGCTGATACAGGCCATTTATTCTTTTCTAAGCTTACTACTCGCTAGGGAAATAGAGAATGATATGAGATTATAGCATGTTGGCAACTTAACTGTTATTTTACATTTACTTGCAAGGATCCTTTAGTAAATGGGCCTAGTGGGTCCGAGCCTAGGGGAGCAAGAGGTTTTAGGTTTGTTGTGGGTGCAAGTAAGGGATGAATTCCCCGCAAGGAAGAGAGGAGCGCAGCTATATCTCTCTAGAGCCCATAGCAAGTAATATGCAAACCGAGAGTCTGTTAACTAGTAACTGTTCGAGAGGCGGGATAGTTTTAATGTATGGATGTAAGTTATTGCTATGTGGTAATGTCACATGTTTACAGATGGTGTTTGGCAACTGTGGAGTGCTGCCTGAAGCCGGTCCCAGCAAAGGCTATGTTGAGATGACTGGAATTGACGCAGAGACTTCCCAGGACATAGCTGAGGTAATTGTAGCACTTCAACTTATATTTTTATTTTTACAATTTTGTAAGATGATTTTGTAAGATGAATTTCAATATCTAACTTTGACAATAAACTATGTTTGATCCTCAATTTAAGTCATTCAAGGTTCAATAGACTTAAGCACACACTGTATTTTTTCCAAGCATATTCAATATTAAATACCTCTACCACAGCAAACCTGCATACTAAGTAAATTTCCATTAGCCTAATTGGCTTTTCCCTAAGGCGTTTCCTTGTACTTGCCAGATTAATTCCCTTACAATAACTATAAATTTAGGGAATATTTAGGTTTGCTGCTACAGGGAAGTGTGTGTTTTTTGTTGTTGTGAAATATTTAAAGCTTACTATGAAGTAAATAAATTTGATCATAATATATCCATAAATAAATGCTGGATAATGGAGAACCCATTGCTACACAGAAGAACTTAATACAATTAAACATATAGCTGTTTCTAATGGTTTCCAAAGCAACTTGATCGACAAATTGATTTCTAAACATAAAAATAAAAAAAACTGGAACAAAAGAAAAGAAAACCTATGTCTCTGCGAAGTACGGTTCATTCCTCAGCACCAAATTTAAGAACATAATGGATAACAATAGTATCACAGTCTCATTCAAAACTGACAATAAACTTGGATCTTTGCTAAAAAAAAACGCCCCAGACACCTACAGCAACCTTCGAAAAAACTGGTGTGTACCAAATCAATTGTAGTGATTGTCCAAAATATTACATAGCCCAGACATCCCGATCTTTTAGTAAACGGTTTAAAGAACATCTACCGAAAAGGACTACAACTGCACAAACTTCGACCTTCGCAGAACACCTGGTTTCTCTCAACCACAATTACAATAGTATTGACAGTAATATGAAAATCCTACACCTATCGAACGACCGATTCAATAGGAACACATTGGAAGAATTCAAAATCTATAGGGCTGTTAAATTTGACAGCCAAAACATCATTAACGACAAGATTTCATTCCAATCGAATTACATATACGACACTGCTATTAAGATAATGGAGCTAGGGACAGTTGTGAATGGAACTATCAGCTGATCGGGAAATCCAGGCACGACGTCATCACTGACCACGTTGATCCTGACCGGCAGTCTAGACATAACTTTCGCCCGATCACGTCGTGTCGTGCCCCGTAGGCCTACCGTTTTCAGTATTTTACAGCTTTAAATGTTCTTTTTTATGTCTGTGTACGTGTTTGTGTTTTGTTTATTTATTTATTATCCATTGACGACCTTCGAATGAAGCGAGAAGACATCTTATAACTGCCTGAAGATGACTCCAATGTGAGTTGAAACCGGTAGCAACTCAGCTACAACACAAGATCGCATAAATGGAGGTATTTTACACCAATTTATAGTATTTAAATGCGATCAGGAGGCTAAAATTCAATATAATGAAATTTGTTTATTCCTTATAAGAATAACATGGAAGTTTTAAATCCCTAACCTAAACCCCCTAACCTGAGTACAAATGCAGTTGTAGCTACTATAACTAGGCGTGTTGTCCGCAGGCTATCACAGGCAAGGGAGGCAGGTACCTGGAGGCTCAGGTACAAGGCAGTAAGACACAAGCGGAGGAAGGTACCTTGGTGATACTGGCTGCTGGGGACAGGTCACTGTTTGACGAGTGTCAGAGCTGCTTTGAGGCTATGGGGAAGAACTCCTTCTACCTGGGTAAGCAGACACTGAAAATGAAAATATCTATTGACTGTGAAAAGTTAGACATATCATTCTCATATCTTGGTTGTTGGTAGTTACGGAATAATTATGAAGTGTTCAGATAACCTAATGTTTAATTAATCAATCATAGTAATTAAAAGGCTATGTCTAATCAAAGAGATCAACAACAGTAGTTTTACAATGTTATTTTAATTTCTGTCAACTTAAAATCTACAAATGTATACACAAAGTATGTTTCTTGGTATAATTGGCAGTTTTTTCTGAACGTTATATCATGTTATGAGATCCATGTTGTTGTCTGTCCAATTTCATTCCATTGGCCAAGCCAGATCAACTACCCATGCTATGGCCGAGAATTATCGTTGCCTGGCTCGTTTTCCAATTGATTGGAATTTTTATAAATAATTTTTGGTTGACCCAGAATTCAGTGATTTCTGTTGAATACACCAACTTTTTTTGTGGTGTTTTACACCAGTGGCATTTTTAATTTTTTTTAGGGATTGGCCTTTAAATAACCAAGTCTTTAATTTTAACCAAGCCCACTTTATTATCCTGATGTATGGCAAAGTTGGCGGTGGATGTGGTGTTGGCTGACTAAGCGAGGCTAGGCTGCAGTAGAAGGATTGATTGGAAGTGATTATATTATATGATGTATTCTGTATAGGTGAGGTGGGCAATGCGTCCAAAATGAACCTAGTACTGCAGCTGATGGCAGGGGTAACATTGGCGGGGTTGGCGGAGGGAATGGCGTTGGCTGACAGAGCGGGGTTGCAGCAGAAGGATGTGTTGGAAGTGATGGAGCTCACATCTCTAGCCTGCCCCACTATACTGGACAAGGGCAAAGGTAAATCAGCTAGGCTCTAAACTAAATACACAACTGAGAAACCAGACATCAAAGTTGTCTCTCTAATAAGTAAGTTTTCTTCTAGAAATAGGTCAAGGCCAGGATTTTGATTTGTAAAATTAAAATATGGGAATAACAGCCAGATTAAGCTTACATTAGAAAAAAAAAAAAACACATTTAGGCAATAGAATACACAGGCAACACAATATTTTTTTTTTATTTAGGGACTTTGTCAGTTGTAGACAGAGAGTAGAAAAAGAGTGCAGAGGTAGAATCTCTTTTTGTCTTGCTTGAGAAAGCCCGCCAGAGTAAAAATATTGTGTATTGTCTCTTACTTACCTGTACATTTTCTAAGGTAAGCTAACTGTTATCCCTTTAATCTACGAAATCAATAATGAATTAGTAACATAGAACCTATGTCTTCCTCCGCTATTGCTATTCCCAAGTTGGGCATCGTCTAGGGCTCACTATTTTTTCACCATTTGACACCTTCATTCTCCTCATTAACTCAATTTTTCTATAAATGTCTTCACACACCCATATCCAATCCATCTTAGTCTTGCTTTCCTTCTAGCTGCCGGCAACTACCCCGTTTCTGATCCCTTCATTTATCTATTACTTTGTTCCAAGTATTTTAAACTCAATAGTCCTTAAAAGATTTTTTCCATCTTGTATTATGTTCCAGCTCTTATTTTTTTTTATATCTTGGTCTTGGTGTTGAAGTAATTGACCTAAAATAGTTTTGACATCATCCTAGATAAAGTATCAACTTAGTATAGTTACAACTCAAATTGACTGATATAATTTTTTAAATGTCCGAAATGTTTATTAATTGTCTATCATCTTCACTGGTATGTTTGTTTTGCAGCCATTATTGATGCCAGTTTCCCCACCCATTTGCCCCTCCAACATCTGCAGAAGGACCTCAAGTTGTCCTTGAGTCTAGGGGATCAATTGGAGCAGCCCCTGCCTCTCACAGCTTCTGCTAACGAGGTAAACACTCGGTCACAATATTATTTAAAAAATAACATTTGATTAAAAGAAAGAGAATAGAGTTTACATAATGGTAGCAAACAAAATTTAATAAAGTACTTAATATTTTTACAAACTCCAGTAAATGAGTTGGGTTTACACTTGAAAAGTGTTGATTGACCATTCGGCCAAGTGCATTATCATAGACAAAAAGAATGAAATATAGACTGTCAGCCGTGCTGCGGTTGCCATGGTTACCATAGGTTCCGGCGCACACCGCTGTAGTTTACGTAGCGCGTACACCGTAACTACCGTGGTGCTCCAAGCGGTGTGCGCCAGAACCTATGGTAACCGCAGCACAGCTGACGGTCTATTTAATTCTTTTTGTCTATGTCATTATTTAAACTATTTGTTTAGAACGTCCTCAACAGTAAAGTAAACTGCAAATACATTTCATATCCGTCAGTGGTGTTTTACTAGTGACGCAATTAAGCTGCGATTAACGCAGTGTGATTCGTACTCTGGGGTTGCCGGAACCACTGATCCCTTTGAAACCAATGGGACTGTTTTCTTTGCGACGCGGTGCACATCTAACTGCCAACTGCGGAGCATACAGCATGATTGAGAACATAACCTTGAGAGCAGTTTGTTGCGAACCACGTTGCCGAACTGGGCTATTGTTAAGAACTATGGAGGAAACTAGTTTGAGTGATGTTATTAAGTTCACTGTTGATGACGACAGTTTATTAATTGACTGTGTGTGTCTTATTATTAAGTACTGTTCTATCTCAGTTTGTTGGCACTATGACTTCTTATTTGTCTGATTTACTACCCTCTATCTATGTGCCATTAGGTTATTAAAGATTTCTCAAAATAGTCTTACAGTACTGACCTCAAATGTTGAATGTTGCAGGTGTTCAAGCACGCTAAGCGTCTGGGCTACGGCGAACACGACGCATCAGCTGTCTACATTCGTGCACGTTTCTAATCTCATACACTCGGGCAGCATGTTTCATACATTTTCAACAACTTTGGTTTAATTTTGACTCATTTTCATTATATTTAAATGTAATGAACCCCCTGAATAAATTAGAGTTCTAGGTTTAGTTTGATATATTTGTTACTAGATATTATTTTGACTTTTTAATGGATGATGAGATCAACTTGGTTTTAATCAGAGATGTATTAATTATGATCATTGACATTATTTATTTGTTTGTATGTGCTTCAATTCATAAAACTAGCCTAAAAATAAGTAAGATGTATTTGTTTTGATATTGGATAAATGATATCGATTGTAAGAATTTGTTAAAATTTTAGATTTATATATATGGTTTAAAAGAGATGATACATTTTTGTGTGTTGTAGTTAAAACTGAGGTCACCTGACACTTAAAGTTGGGTCTCTTGATAAATCAAGTATTTACTTAAGTAGCGATTTATAATTTTTGTAATAATATTACCGGTAAATATCTGAACACAAATTTAAAGGTGGAATTCAATATTCCTCAGTAATTTTGAGCAAAACGCCTTCTTATATCGCAAAAACTCCTTGACATATTTTTTATGTGTAGATTTTTGTTAAAATTTATAAATTACTACCTACTAAACCAATTAGCTTCTGCTTCAACTACATTACACACAAGACTAGTTTTAAAATTGACCAATATAATTAAGATTAAGATATATTTTGGAAAGATATTTTGTGGCGATTCAATTATTATCATGGTACAAAGAGTATTTGTCAGCGTGTCAGCTAATTTATGTGTGTAGATAGAACATAGTTATTACGGACATGTGGTATTTTAGTTTGGAAAATTTTATAGTTGGCATTTATCATTTTGTACGTTTTTTTTAGTTTAGATAAATTAATGTGTAATCGACTATGGCGTATGCAATTACTGTTAATCCAACTATCACTGTTTTTAATTTCAATAAAGTTATGTATTTTTATTCCTGCCTATAATTACCACATTTTAAATTCACCATTTGATTGTTAATTGATAAAACCTCTCTTATGTGACAAGCTTTCATCAAGAGTATTTGGACTTTTCAAATTTTAAACAAACTAGCTGTTACCCACGGGCTCCACCCCGTTTCACTACATTAGTATCAATAAAACTATTGATTGGTTAAGTTAAGATGAAATAAACAAAACAGAATACAGTAATGGTAATGCAAACAAATAATAACAGCTGAGGTATTTTTAACATTAGGTAAATGGAAAGTTCCCTTTGGAAAGCAATTACGACTTTATAGGGCAATTTATGAAATAATGGATAGTTTTGCGCAAGGTTTCTCGTCATGTAGAACATTTTAAGTATATGGTTTATGGGGGTGTGACTTGTAGTTTTCTCAAAAGTTCATGGGTACTTTTGGCTTTATATATAGATTTGGACAGCTGGCACCATTAAAAACAATAAATATTTGTGGAAGGAAAGGATACATATGTGTTTGAAAGGATACATATTTTCTTTGGCTCTTTGTGCCAAAGGAACTGTTGCATAAAATAGCAACTCTACCAACAACATGATTGAAGACTGTTAACAACATGTTTTAAACAAAAGTTTACAACAAAAGAACAATAGGGTATTGTTGTAAACATGTGCTAGCTACAAAATGTCTAAAACGTTTGTCGATAACACTGTTTGCCAAAGTATGTTTAAAACGTTTTATTGATTACTCTTGATTTCTGGAAACTCTTTGTTCGATTAAAAACATGAGTTATAAACAGAGAGCCATTTATTTATGTGCAATTTGCAAATTTTTGTGAAATGTCACAAAACTTAAAAAATATGGAGAAAACACAACAACACTAAGCATTAAAATAAACTCATTGTTTTGTTTAAAGAAATAGAACAATTTCAGTATTAAAGTGAAAAACTAATTAAGTTACTCGACAAAAAAGGTTAAAAACTACAAATAATAAAAGTCCTTTTTTATAAATAAGGCCGGCCGCACACCTAATACAGCACGGCACGGCGAAACGTCTTCACCACGCCTTGCCATACCCGATAGAGAAGAGCTTCATACAGCTAGGCACGGCAAGACGTACACAGCATAGAAGTACCCACGGCTTTCGACAGGTGCTGTCCACTGCACTCACATGGTGTCGATCCTCGCGCATGCGCACATCGTTTTGCCTCAAGCCTTTTGCCCGAAAGACGAAAATTGAAAAGGCAGTACAAAGCGCCGTGCGGCGCTGCTTTGCCTTGCCTTGCCGTAACCGATGATGTGTGCGGCACCTCCATTTGAAATAATATAAACCTAGGGCATTAGGCGCCTTAAGGCAAAACGTCGCTCCGTACTGCATCTGGTGTGCGCCCGGCCTTACATTTAACAATGTGTATTAAAATTCATAGTACAAGAAAACTGATGCAAAAAAATACTCAAGAACTTGTATAACAAAATAAACTTTAATCATAAGTATCACAAGAGACAACACAATTGGCGAGGACTATGTTTCAATTACCTATTATCACATAGATAATCAAAGAGCACGAGTCACATTCCACTGAAATGTCACAATCACCTGGAGTAATGTCACTTGCGTCGACTGTAAAGTGACCTCCGCACCGACACAGCAAAGTGTAGAGGTTATGGACAGAGTCATACGTAAGATCTCCTAACTTGAATGTCCCAAACACAAGACTTTGTTGACATAATCTCTGTTGATTCAATTTGGCATTGTAAATCTGCCTTTCTCTCGGATCACTCAAAGTTTTCCACGCTTTGTTTATCAATTCAAAACTATTTGTACAGTTCACATCGCTTGCTACTTTGTCTGGGTGGCAAGTTAAAGCTTTTTCATGGTAACATTTTTTAATTACTTCGATTGAAGCATTTTCATCACATCCTAAAATACTGTAATAATCCTCTAGATCATCCATTATTTAAACCTTCAGATCTGAAACAACAGTTTGTGTTACAAATGGTATACACAAATTGGTGGTGTGACAACAGGACTGAATTTGACCCGGGCCGGCTGGGTCCGCAGGGGCAGCCATGCGGAAAAATTTCAGGGGTGTGACAAAAGGACTGAGAGAAATCTCCCTCGCCGCGTTGGTTTCTTGGTTTCTTCCCATTCTCTTGCGGTCAGCTCCCTCCTCCCCTACACACACACAGACCAGAGAACTGATCACTTAATGGAGTCGTTCACAGAATTGCTGTGTCGTGTTTTCGAGGAGATCAAACATAACTGTGCGGCTTAATTTTTCAGATCAAGACAGAAATGTCCTATCGTAACCTAACCCAACCTAACCTCAGACCATGAAAATATTAACTAAAATATTATTATTAAATAATAAGGCAATTACCGTATAGCCTATCAGTTTAAATTATTTTAATAAAACAAGTGTTTAATAAAGACAAGTACTGACAAATTACACGGAGTAAATAATTCCCTGAATGATTCCATGAGCCGATCACTATCCCACTAGTAGTTCACTATTAGTCTGGGGGTAGGGTGATGGGAATTAGGCAGGGAGAACGGGGAAATTCCATTCAGTCCTAATGTCGCACCCTCGGAAAATGCCGTCGATTGCCCCAGGTCAAATTCAGTCCTGTTGTCGCTTTACCACAGAAATTTAAAACATTGGGGAAAGGAATTTAATATTAACATTTAACCTGATTTTGTGAGGTAGCCTAAGTATGATGAGAAAGCGTAAACCACATTTATTTTTGTTGCCAATTTTTTAATTTGCCTATGATTGATTTCTCAAAAAAATTAAGAACCAATTTGTTCTTTTGGTTTTTGGTTAAATATAAACAAATACGAAATAACTATAGCCTACCTCGGTTTAGTTAACTAGCTATGCTGCCTAAGGTATATGGATACATGCACACAATTTTTCTATAAATTCTTGTTTCATGTACAATATTTTTATATAAATTCCTGTTTTACAGACAAAGACATTTTTATTTTCATTGATTTTTTTCCCAAATGTGAATTTTATCAGCCTAAGTGCATGGGTACTGAATTAAAACTTATTAACAGTAACTTAATGATAGTTGCAGTAATATTTCCCAAGAAAAGATAAAGACAGTAGAAACACACTTTTGAATTGATTTGATCAAACAAGAGCCAAAAAATGTTTGAGCATCTGGATGAAAGTGAATTGGTGCATCACTTATAGAATTATTATTGGGTGTATTATTGACGGTTTATTCCTAAAGTTACTTTTCAATGATAATTCTATACAACAGTTTTGTTTAACACATGCCTGATTAAATACCCTCACCACCGCAAACCTGCAGACTTAACGAATTTCCATTTGACTGATTTAATTTTTACTTAAATCTATTTAAGTGACATTAGGATTAACGAGTGGCCCCCACTCTCCTGATACTGATGAACGACCTAGGTTGGGAGAGAGATACTCTACTTTTTGCGAACGATACAATGTACAACCCTGCTGGGCAGGGGGCAAGATCCTACTGCGGCAGTCGCCTGTTCAGAACATCTTTTGAACATGTTTTGAAAACATTGACTATCAATGCTCATCCCTATACCCAACTTAACATAGGCTACAGGAATAGGTGAGTTTGGTGTCGTAAATGATTAGCGTCTACTGAATCAATTGTTGCTTTATATTTAAAGAGGAAATCGTTAAAATGAACTTTAAAAACCTGAACATTTTTCTAACCACTGAGTATAACCATTGTATAGGCCTACCTAACCTACAAACTACTAAACTAGGCTATTTTTGAGGAGTAAAAACATAATTTAATATCCACAACAATACGATAGACAAGTTAGTAATAATATACAGATTAAAAGTTGCATTTTAAAAATACGAAATTTGATACTGACCCTCAAAATAATAACGATTAATACAAGGCTTTATTTAAATAACCTCTTAAGTAATTGTAACCTCAAATCTCATTATACAGACGACAGACGTGTTTGTTTTGCTTTTGTTTACACATTTTTCGATTGTAGGCATTTTTTACCATGCAGTTGCTTAGTTCTGTCTACCAGAATATTATTGTTTATTGTTAGATGTTAGTTGATATTGTTTTCCTTTCCATTAGTATTTTATTTTTTCCTCTATCGATGCCGCCGATGGCATTCTGGAGAATTAGAGGAGGAATAACCTATTTCTCTGAATTCTATGAGGAATAACTTTATTTTTTTTTTTAGAAATGTGGTAAAAACACAAATGTGTGTTTTAATACATTTTATTTTGTGTGTCGTCATTTATTATACGTTATAAATCAACAGAACAAAAGGTTTTCTTTGCAAACCAAACAAAACAGCATCATTGTCACCGACAAAACTTTCTATTAAGAATACTACCAGAACCGGTAACCACTAACCATTTCAAATCCAAATGACTATTTCTATAACTATTAAATACCCCCGTCGCAGCAAACCTGCATACTAAGCGAATTTCCACTTACCCGGCTTGATTTCTACTAAAATATTCCCTATAAATTTTCAGATTTATTTCCTATTTAAATAACATTAATTTTAGTGAGTAGTTAGGTTTGCTGCTAAGGGGAAGATGTTGAGGTGTGCTTTTTCAATTGAAATATTGATAGCTTAGTATGAAATAAACCAAATTGCCAAATTTGATTAAAATATATCCATAAACAAGCAAACTAGAACAGTTTATTTATTCTCCATAAGAATAACATGGGAATTTTAAATTTACAATTTTTTAAATTTTCTTCGTAGTCAATGAACATTCAAAAACACTTCAATATATTAAATTATTTGTTTTTTTAAGCTCTTCAAAATGGTCTAGAGAGAAATTTAGAAATTTTAAGTTTTTAGGGTCAAAAATGAGAAAACCCCATTTTTACCCCATAAAACACCCATAAACCCCTGATCCCATGGTCCGATTATGGTTCGCGAACTCGTTCGAATAAATATAGGTTTACACATTTGTACCAAATTTCATCAAAATCGGATCAATTTTGCTCGAGTTATCGCGCTAACGGACACATAT